TCATGTCAAGGTGAGCATTACAACTAAGAGCTGAAAATAAAGTGTCAAAAACTGCTGCTTTCTTTCGATCTGCAAGTAACTATGTCCCAATTCACACTTGTGGTAAAGGAAATGAAGTGTTAAAACTGTCAAACGCACTGTTACCTGAGTGTGTATACTGTTGCTGTGTCCACTGGCAAGACACTACACTTCAGTATAGGGCTGGGTATCATTAAGAAGTTGCCAATATCTCGATACATAGGCCATGATACGATACATATCTCGATACAGTGCACTTTTGATTCAATACGATACATTTCAAAAAGATTCGATACAGTTCAATAAACAATAACGGTAAAATCTTGGCTGTGATACTAAAAGTCTTCTTGCACAAAGTGAATATGAAACACAAACATTTTAATCATTGAAACTGAAAATGTCAAAGGTGTAGAGTAAACAAGTTTCCTTCCTCTAAACAAAACTGTAACACTGTAACAAAATAATTGAGTAAAATATACCAAAAAATACTCTTGGCGATATATCAATATAGCAGCCCACGATATCGATACTGTATCATCACATTAAACAATACGTTAAATCGATATTTAAATATTTTTGCCCACCCCTAGTGTAGTGTAGTGTAGTATGGACTAGTGTTGTCACAATACCAAGATTTCAAACTTGATACTAAAAAATAGACTTGATACGCAATACCAATTCCAATCCCACAATCATCCTTTAAAAAAAAACCACTTTCTTTAGACCAGGGGTGTCCAAACTTTTTTCATCAAGGGCCACATCTCTAAACACAGATGAAGCAGAGGGCCGATCGAGGACCGTAGACTGGTGCTCAATACTGTGAATAATTAAAATATGTGCAGGTTTAACATGTTAGAATGAGCTATGATCTTTATTCATGCTAAGATCCTTAAAACCACACAGTAAACATTAAATATTCACTTTATCAAGGTAGATTTTCAAAAAACTTGCAGTAAAAAGTAAAATTTTAATTGATGCATGGTAACTTGGGCCAATTCACCTGGAAGCCTGAGGGCCAAGAAAAATTTGTCTGAGGGCCGCATTTGACCCATGGGCCATAGTTTGGACCTGCCTGCTTTAGACAATAGAATGTGATTTTGTGCTCTTAGGCCCCGTCCACACTAGTACATATTCAAGTCGCTTTCATTGCAGATGCAGTGTTCATCCACACTAATCCGACTGAAAACGGCTCTAGAGATGGAACGATCTGGTGCCGCCAGCTCCCACGAATTCATCTGAGTACAGAATTGATCCAGCACTGTGTGGACGCCTGAAAAAGTTGATATGCTGATATAGGTCTGTGTGCAGCGAAGTAATTCACTGCCAAAATGCTAAGAGGCTAGAATATATGTCCATTCATATATACGGTCTATGTGTATGACCTGCAGACATTTAATCTCTGAAAAGTTTCACATGAACCATCTCCAACGCGAAAGAAGCACAGAACAGACTCACCATCAGCAGAACACTTTCAGAAAGAACACTCATATTCCACTGAGTTGTGTCCTTTAGTCTGACAGAAGCTGAACCGCATCAGTGCACAATAGTGAGCTGTTTTTTGAACACTTAGTTTATGCAAATTAGCTATGCGGTTTTACGTTTCATTTCTGTAAAACGTAAACAAATATGCTCAAAGCTGCGTGGCTAGGGAAGGCTTGCGGACACAGAAATGACGTGTCTGGACGCAGATAGTTTCTGATACGGTGATACAGTGATATGGTGATTCGTTTCAGTGTAAATGTAGCCTTATACTTGTTCTGATACAGCTCAAGAAGCTGTTTTTTAAAGAATCGAGAGCTGCTCAAATGAGTATCTAGTTTCTATACTAGTTTTAGTATTTTATACTTTTGACAAATCTAGTATGAACCTAAAAGTGGATGCTTGAGACAGGACTCACATCTGATGTAAATAACAAAACAAAACAAAGCAACGGTTCATGTGATTTTGAGTGATAGCCTTGTTATTATCAATACTTGCGATAGCCTATCATTTGCCTAAAGCCTAAAATTACTAATGTCATTGTCACAGTATTGTCTGACACTTCTGTAGGCCTCTGACATAAATCTTATTACTGTTTATTATTATTGGTTATTGCTTTGTCTAGAATGTTGCACGGTAAAGATTAAACCTATCCATCACGATGGAGACAAGCGGGTTACAGCGCTATGCTACATTACAGCTCGGATCTGTGGAGAGTCAGCCCTGTTCACTGAAGGAATTATTGTATTTTTGATGAATAAATGCTAGATGGATACGTTTAAAGTCACACGATGGAACATTCCAGGCACAGCAGTAACATCTCTGTGGAGAAAAGCAGGTGGCAGGCACTCCACCAGAAAAGTTGGCAAGGTTAATAAAAATGTTTTTTTTTAATAATAATAATAAATAAATAATTAAATAAATAATAATAATATAAAAATGTAAAAATAAAATGAAAAATAAAGTAAACAAAAAATAAATAAATAAAAATGCAAAAATAAACTGCAAAATAAAATAAACAAAAAAATAAATTAAAATGTAAAAATAAAATGAAAAATAAAATAAACAATAAAAAAACAAAACAAAACAAAACAAAAATAAAATACTGCTGCCTGTTGTAACGATATCCAAGTCTCAAGATACGATATCATCACGGTATGAACCTAATGATACAATATTTATTGTGATATCGTGGGAAAGCTCATGATATGGTGGGGAGGCTCACGATTAGGGATGTAACAATATCCAAATCTCTTGGTATAATATTTTCACAATACACATCTCACGGTACGATTTTTATTGCGATATTTTGTGAAGGCTAATATGCTACTTTTTCCTCTTAAAATGCCTTGACAAGACTTAACCCAAAGAACTAAGACTTAAAAGTGCTTAGAACTGTTATTTCTTCATGTAGTCTGCACTGAAATGGAGCAAAGGATCATGGTCTATGTAGTTCCCTGTGTTTTTTAAAGCTATTACTGCACCATAACTCTTAATTTAAGCAGACTTGTAATTCGATACACTGTGATGATCCATGATATTATTGTGGGAACTTTGACGATACGATATCACAATATTTGCCTTATTGTTACATCTCTACTGTCTAGTGCTGCCTAAAAATACACAAATAATAACAGTGCTTGCTTTGTGGATACTAACACCAGATTATAAAACAAATCCCACATGCATATACAGAAGCACTCGATGTGTAATTATGGCACGGTCAGTCCAAAGTGCAAAAGTTATAAGACCATTTTACGAGCAATGAGTGTTCAGAATCTAGGCTGCTTCTTTACTAGTGGTGTATTGGGTAGTCTTGGCTTTTTGACATGTTAAACGTACTAAAACTATTCGCTGTTTAACTGAATACAGCCGCAAACACTGAATTATAGTGTAACTTTTATTACTGCAGACCGGCACGTTTACAACTCCAATAAAGTGTAGGCTACTTCCTTACCAGAATGTAAAAGATAGTCAGTGTCCTGTGCAATATTGTAGCTGCAGTGAGGTTGTCAAAGGTATTAAAAATCAGATATGAATCGATACTAAATGTAGTATTGAAACTGGATACTTGTTTAAGCAGGTATTGATACTAAAAAGATACATTCACAGGACAGAAATGAAGCTTTCCTCAACAACTTTAGGATGATTTTTGAGCTCAAGAACAAGTATAAGAGCATATAGACTAGTATACACCCATGGACCACTACATAATAACACAAAAGAAAGATCTACCGTTTACGATTTTACATTTTTTATTGTGGTATCGGAATCGGTATTGAGTATTGAGTCTGTTCTTCTTCTGGCATTGAAACTGATTTTGAAATTTTGGCATGAGGACAACACTAGTTTGCAATAATGAATGAATGACAGGCTAAGATACTTATTCAGATTTTGTGCAAATTTAGAAGATTATTTTGAATTTGAAGAGAATTTGTTAATTGAAACTGAATGTCTATACACCTTGACACATTGTTGTCCATGACTTGAGCATAATAGTCCAATCAAATTCATTTGGTCTTCCGATATTTTATATTCTATATATATAGGTTCTTTTTTCAGACCAAGAGTTGGTCAGACTCTTGGTGTGAAAAAAGAACCTAATAACATGAATGTCTATACCCTTTCAAAAGATAATCAATGTCCTATGTTATGTTATAGTTTGCGGTAATGTTTTATTGTGATGTTTTAACAATGTTTCTGCATTCAAATTTTTCAGATTTTGTCAAAATTTAGAAGATTATTTGGAACTTGAGCAGAATTTATTGAGTGAAATTGAGCGCCTATAGCCTTTTAAAAGATAATCAATGTCACACGAAACGGTAATGTTATAGTTTGCAGTAATGTTTTATTGCCACGTTTTAGGCTAAACAACTTTTGTGCATGGAACATTTTCAGATTTTGTGCAAATTTAGAAGATTATTTTGAATTTGAGGAGAATTTGTTGATTGAAATTGAGTGTCTATACCCTTTCAAAAGATAATTCATGTCCTATGCAATGTGATAGTTTGTAGTAACATTTTATTACCACATTTTTCACTGGCTAAGCAACTTTCAAATATGTTCATTCACATTTTTAGATTTGGTGCAAATTTAGAAGATTATTTTGGATTTAGGGAGTATTTGTTGGTTGAAATTAAAAGTCCTATGCATTGTTATAGTTTGAAATCACATTTTATTGCCACGTTTTAAGCTCAGCAACTTTTGTGCATTCAAATTTTTCAGATTTTGTGCAAATATAGAAAGTTATTTTTAAATTTAGGAGAAGTTTGTCATTAAACTTGTAGGCTAGTTCCTTCCCAGAGTGTTGGAATCCTTTTAAAAGATAATCAATGTCCTATTCAGTGTCACAGTCTGCATTAATGAACCGACAGTGTATTTGGAACTTTTGTGCATTGGAATACATTGTCATTTTTTTGGTCATTCTTTATCAGTTTGGAATCTTATTTTGAAATTTCGAGTTGAATTTGCCTCTCATGGACCAGCTCGTGAATTTTGCTTACCTGAATTACCGCAATCCGCGCACGTCTCGTTCCCAGGTCTGGTTAAGACGTCTTGGAGCAGCTTGTTGTCGGTCGCCTCCGTTTCTCCGGCCATGGTGAGGAGCCGATTGTTCCCCGATCCGGTCCAGCCTCACCTCACCCCGGCAAACACGATCGGAGGAAAGGGAGAGACGAGGACGCGGCGACGAGATTAGAGCATCCGCCGGGGATCGTCCAAAACGCGCAAGGAACCGAGAAAAACACGAAGGAGACGAGCAAAGCGTGCACCTGCGCCTGTCACCTGCGCGAGACGCCGGGAGACTGGACTCCGATCGGGGACGAGGCGAGGTGTCTCAACCCGGGAGCGCGCTGGTGCTTATTGACTCGCTCTGACTGCATAATAATTAAGCAGTGCAATGTGCTTCGTTCGTTCCACCAGCCCGGACTGTCTGTCTGTAACGAGACGCCACCGGGAGGAAAATGTTGGAAAGCGCGACATCTAGCGGCAGACTGAGGCAACGCAGCGTCAAATTAATGTTTCATAAGTTCCCACGTGTATTATATAAAACTCTTAGATTGTTAGAAATATGTTGGGGGAAAGGTGCACTAACTTCAGGCACTTGCATGTTTCCACGGAGATTTTATTTGTTTTTAGATGCGATTTTATAGATTTTATTTTAGTTGCTTGGAATGTTTCTCACTATGACATTAAAGTTATCAACTGGATAGTAGTCCAGTGTGACCAGACGTCTCTATTTCCAACTTTATTTATTTGATATTTTCAGTTTAGAACAAATATTCTACAAAAAATAAATAAATAAATAATGATAATAATAATGATTAATTAATAAATAAAAACTATGACAAAGATTTGTTGGTGCCAAATAATCATTATAATACACTGTAAGCATCAAGTTAAAAAATGAATATAATAAATACATAAATCATCCATCCATCCATTTTGTTCAGCTTATCCAGGGCTGGGTCACGGGAAAGCAGTCTAAACAGGGACTCCCAGACTTCCTACACCCCAGACACTTCCTTCAGCTCCTCCGTTCCCAGGCCAGCCCAGAGACATAGTCCCTCCAGCATGTCCTGGGTCTTCCCCAAGGTCTCCTTCCGTTGGGATGTGCCCAGAATATAAATCAGTAGATTTAAATTCTAATTCTATATGACTTACATAACAAATACATATGTAAATGAAGTAGTAAAATAATAATAATAAAATAATATATAAATATAAAATTTAATTTAAAATAGATACAAAATACTCACAATGGGGTATACATAGACAAAAAAGTAGTGTATAAGAGTATAAATGTCCTCAGTTATGTCATATGACAACATTATGACATTCTTTTTCAGGGGTCAACTACAAATTCAAATGCTCTAGGATGGGTTTCCATACTGTCTGAATTTTTTGAGGAATGCCTGACACCTCATACCTCAATCTCCTATTAATTCCCTGAGCCAGGCTTCAAATTTAAGTGCAGACATCAGTATTTACCCGGGACAGTCACAGTTTTGAGCCCTGTGTCCCCTGTCCCAGCAGATTTATACAAAACCACTGATTTGTCCCAGTTTTATGCAAGAAATGTCCCAGATGTCTCTATTTTGGACCAATCTCATCCTTGTCAGCAGTAAAGAGAGACATACATTTGTTTCAGTAAAATACAGAAAACCTGCTTAAAAATGACTAAAACACAAAGAAAATGTCACTATATTGACTCACATTAATGCCAAGTGCAAAACAATTTTCCTTAAGTCCGCACTCGTTTCACAAATTGATTATTACCAACCACCACAAACCAGGGATGTCCAAGTTTTTTATTTTGAAAATCTGGTCACCCTAGACCAGGGGTCGGCAACCAAAATGTTCAAAGAGCCATACTGGCCCCCCAAAAACAAAAAACATACCTGCTGGAGCCGCAAAAAATTAAAAACCTTATATAAGCCTAATATGAAGGCAACATAGGCTGTCAGTATATTAGCTGTATAAGCCGACTTTTAAAATGACTAAGTAGGCTACAAATACAAAATGAGCATCATGATTACACAAACCCCTTTTGCGACCCTCTCATACTTGGTGCACCGTCTGTAGCCACTGAAATCAAGTGGTTAGTGTTTATTCCTTTGTCATTTAGGCCCCGTAAAAAAAGAGACATTTTGTTCACCGTTTACACGCAAACGGTGAATTCGCCTCTGAAAACGAATCTTTCTAAAAACTCTGGTTTCACGTTTGTGTGTTAATTGAGATAAACGGAGTTTGAGGTGCGACCAACATTTACCTGTTGCTTTGACGACGATGATGCTGGAAGTATTCAGAGCAGCAGTCGCATTTCTTCTGATCGTGCTTAGGAGCACTCATAAAACAGCAGCATGTAGAACTTTGTACGCAACTCCACGCACATCAGCCCGGAGCAGAAGCTCTGAGCTCGGGCAGCAGCGCAACACACACGGGAGCAGTCAGCGGGCAGCCCCTCAAGACGGGGCTTGGGGTCCAGTGTTGATTGTCCGGAGGCTTCGTCCTCCGTGTCCTGGTTCCAGACGGGGGCGAGCAAGACCAGCGCGCAAAGAACTGGGTCCGAGCGGTTCCGTGTCGTCCTCTGTGCGGTGGTTCTGTGCAGGAAAAGCGAGAATGCGCTGTGGACTACAGGTACGGGCGGGCTGCTCCGGTCCTCCGCGCTCGACCGCGGCTGGTTCCGAGGTGGAGCAAAGCATCCGGACAGAAGCGTGAATCCCGTTTGGTTCGCTGCGGACGTGTTTTTTTTTTTTTTTTTTTTTTTTTTTTTTTTTCGGGGAAAGCACTTCTCAGGTGGAGGCACCGGACACCACCCCCGCTTCAGCTCATCTGTTTGTTCGGCTGAAACACTTTTAATGTCTTTGCATTTGCACACACAGCTGATGGATCAGATCCATGACCAGAGATGAATGAGGGTTTTACCCCTACAGAAAGCATATTAAAACAACAACAAAAAAATCATTCCTTTTCCATTTTCACTCATTTTTGAAAAAGCTCCAGGGAGCCACTAGGGGAGTGCTAAAGAGCCGCAAGCGGCTCCGGAGCCGCGGGTTGCCGACCCCTGCCCTAGACCATTGTTTTCAAAAGACTGGATCGCGACCCTCAGGTGGGTTGCAAGAGATTGTTTTAGGGTCACCTTTTCATGATCTGCATATAGGTCTGCAATATACAGTTCTGACACATTCTGACACACATGAACTAGTGTTCCTGCAGCTACAGTTGAGAATGCTGGCTTGGTTGTCCAAAAAGAAGGTGATAAATCAGCAAAGGTCAGTGCACTTCAGGGAATTGAGGGTACTCAGGAGCCAATCCGCAATAAAGCTGGTACAAGTGTTGTTAGCACTGAAAATACAGATGGAAATGAGGCTAGCATTAACGCTGTTGAGCAGGGATTGGAGCCTCCTGCACCCAGATTAGAACATGCTACAAAAAGCAGGCCCACCTATCTCATAGAAATGCTGAAATGTTAAGATATGTTTTGTATCTTTTCTAATATTTCTGTCATTATTTTATTGACTATTTTGTTCCAATATTGCTGGTTCAATTGAATGTTGAAAAGAAAAAGAAATGGGCTACATTTAATGTCCAAATAGGCGACTTATGGATCCTTTTATTCCTGCTTCAGTGACTGTTTTTCATTGTTTAAAACTTGAGTAATACACAATCACTCAGTCAACAATAAAATATCTCCATTAATGTTCAATAATGGTCAAATCCAACTTTTATTTTGTGATTTATGAATAATGTCTATTGACTTGGGTCGCAAAGGTTTGTGACTTTAATGAATATGGGTCCTCAGAAAAAAGTTTGGGAAACACTGCCCTACATTAGTCAGATCTGTGGAGAGGAGAGCGCACTCACAGTAAGGTGAGGTACTTAAGGTTAAGGTACTTTTGAACAACAACAAAACCACCTGCAATTGAATAAATGCACGCTAAATAATGGCATCATGTGGAACATTTTAGGCACCTTTAAATAAAATCAAGCCTAATTAAATGCATATACTCAGATTATAAGGGTAGTACATCTTGGATTGCCTGTTTAGATACTATAAAATGTAATCATAAAATATCACTGTAATCATAAAATATCAATAAAAAAGGATAAATAAATGAATGATTTGAATTATACGACCCAGTATTCATGTAAATGACCCGCGCCTCCAGAATATCATAGTTTGTGCATATTAATAGTTGGTACCTTCATAAAACCAGGTCAGGAGGCAGGGAAACGATCAAGCTACGCACAGAAAAGTAGTCCCACTAAAAAAAATTAACTGAAACTACAAAACCCACTTCAAGCTGCGCACTTTCTTGATCTTTAATCTGCCGTAACTCAGATTTCAGGCCTTATATCATTGATTTAAGTGAGCTCTCTGCTGGAAGCTCTTCTCCAAAGCTGAGAGGAGAGCCAGCTCAGAGTCAGACTATTTGATTTTCAAGGTGTTTTAGAGCTAATAAAACAACTATAATTGAAAAATACATCATAGACAAGAGCTACAGAGTGAAACATCCAAGCAAAGCAATGAAATATTTGTTATACTCCACCAGAAAAGTACTCCTTTGTTTATTTTGTGGATGGCAGCAGCATTGACAGGTGACTCTGTGCAGCATCTGCAGTGATGCGGTCACTGTATCGGACCACTGAGGTGAGGAGAAAGCTGAGCCAAAAGACGAAGCTCTTGATTTACCGGTCAGTCTTCGTTCCTCCCCTCACCTATGGTCATGAGCTCTGGGTAATGACCGAAAGGACCAGATCGCGGATACAAGAAGTCAAAATGAGTTTCTTTCGCAGGGTGGCTGGGCGCTCCCTTAGAGATAGGGTGAGGAGCTCAGTCACGCGGGAGGAGCTCGGAGTAGAGCCGCTGCTCCTCCACGTCAAGAGGAGCCAGCTGAGATGGCTTGGGAATGTGTTCCGGATATGTCCCACCAGGAGGAGGCCCCGGGGAAGACACAGGACACACTGGAGGGACTATGTCTCTTGGCTGGCCATGGAACACCTCAGAGTCCCCCCGGAGGAGCTGGAGGACATGTTTGGGGTAAAGGAAATCTAGGAGTCCCTGCTTAGATTGCTGCCCTCACGACCTGACCCTGGATAAGCAGAAGAAAATGGATGGATGGATGGCAGCAGCATTGTGAGTTAAGAATTGGCTCACTAAGAATATAGCTGGTTCCAAGTTACAATCTCAGTCATTGTGTCCGTGAGCAATATACTCTTGTCAGTGGCATATATTTGTCATATTGTTGTGTTAGGCAGCATGCTGACAACGACAGTGAAGGTGCTCAGTTAATCTATTCCTTCTAAGCAGCACTGTGCTCCTAGTGTCCCGTCCTCACTCTGTACAGGTAAACAGTGTTGTCTTCTACACTACAAACCTGTATATTTTTCAAGGTAAACTACTGGATAAGT